GCCCTTTTTTAATCATTATTAATTATTTATTCATTATCTATTGCGTCCTGCCTTTGTCTTTCAATATTTTTTTAAAAAAGAAACTAACTTTAAATTGCTGAAACAACTTTATTAAAAAATGATATAAATTTTGGTCACGCTGCAGGATTTAATACTGAGACATATTCGACTGAATTTTTAACACCGTTGTCATCAAGGACATGAAACGATAAACGCATCTAGCAATGTATCATCATATTAACAACGGATTCGCTATATGTATTTTTCGCACGCGTTGGCAGTGATAGACTTGTTTGGCAAACGGGCGCGGATCTATTTTACACGAAAACTTCGACATGCGGCCGCACGGCATGCCTGATATGTAACACACGGCAAAAAAATCCGATATAAATCGAATCACCGTAAAGCATACTATTGTTTGACGTCGTGTGTGTATGTTGTGCACGGTACTAGCGCACTGAACAATATTCGGTGAAATCTGACAAGCGGGTGCACAGCTAAAAATGACTGGCGAAGCCATGGCCGGCCATTTTTACGCTCTCATCATGATCCGTTCGGAATGGGATCCGTTTAATAAAAAATATAAGACGATAAAAAGATAGATATCTAGCTGGCGTGAGCATTGTACGGTTATTTGTAACGAGACCTCGCTAATGAAGCTTTTCAGTTGTAGTCGGTCACAGGGTTTTTTAAATTCGCCGTCGTTCATTCTAGCGTGTCTCGCACAAAGGAGTCACATTTCGTCCATGGATTGCCAGGAATTAGAAGAATTCGGTAGGACGAGATATCTCCAAAATGGAAAGAGAGATCCACGTCGGCGCTCATTGTGCGCGTGAAGTCAGGCGTCCCGTTAATTAGACATAATAGAACATTCAGAGCGAGATTTCACGCGCATATTTATACGGATGGCTTTGCTTGAGGTATTTAAAAAGTCACGGCATCGCCGCGCGGAAGAGGCTGGTTAGTTCCCTTTGACCCTACCGTCGTTCTAGTCCCCCTCCCGGGCAATTAATCCCTCTTGCTCGATTAAACTCTTATTCTAGGTTTAATTAAAACTTCTTTTTCCCCGCCATTTCCAGGCGCTATTCCGCCCGATAAGATTGCGCATCGGTGACGTGCGATTCGCCCCTTTGCATGGAAACTGAATCTGCCACTAATTGATTTCCGAATCGGATGGCAAAGTTTTTAGCAAGAACGTACTTTCGGACTGTAAGATTCTGCTGAGAAACATACACTTGTGTGTGTATGTGTGTGTGGTGTTCTGAAACAAAATATGAATGGAATACGTGACGTTCGCAAAGGACAAGAAATATGTTTCGCTGTGCAGAATACTGATTGTAACATACACTATGAACATACACTAGGAAAAGGGAAACAGAATAAAACAAAATTCTTATATACAATATATATTTATTATACACATAATGATATAAAGCTAACAGATAATCCATCTTTTGGATAATATATTATTTTCGTCATTTATCAAACTGATTCTAAAATTTTTGATTCTGATTTTTCGCATACGGCTTTTTTCTCTTTTCTAAGAAAAATATCAACCACGATTTAAGTCTCCCGATTATTAATTTCCGTAAATATTACAACTATTGCAAAAACATTGCTTTTTCAAAGACGGAACTATTAAATTGTAACTTAGACAGCTGGATATTTTCTGTGATACCGGTTTCATTTTTAAGATAAAGTATATAACACAACCGACAAGCGTTTTTAATACCGTGAGTCTGTTCTAACATTAGTTGATAACGAAGCAGACGTGTGCTGAGAAATAACAGGTTCATTTCTAGAAGGCACCGAAGTAAGACTGCGTATATTTTTGCCCGGAGGAAAACCCGCCGGATATCTACGGTACCTATTATTGGAGCTATAACGATCTACGATCGCCGTTATAACGATTTTAATTAAACGTGACTACGAGAAGAATCCCCGCGTAATGGAGCGACAAATTAATTGCAGTACGAGAAGACGTTTGATCTTTTTCCGGCGCGACACTGATGAGCGATGACGTATTGCGTACACGAAATAAGTCGCATTTGTATCGACAAAAGCATAATCTCCTCGATATTATCCAACCATTCATCGAACACCTGTCTAGCCGCGAGTCAAGATCACACTTTACACTTCCAGATAGTTATTGTTCAATACAAACATCTGATTTTTATGACTTGTTTTTTTTTAACGAGCAATGACATTTAAAATGTTTTTATTTTTAAACCATTTGAATAGTTTATTTTCGAATGTGAAACTCGACGGATAAAATTGTTTCCACGTAAAATTTAATATGTGTCAGATCCCTTCGTATTCCAAAAAAGTTAATTTTTGAATAAGGAAGTTTGTTTTCTGCTTTTAATCGACACTTACATTGTTTCTTGTATATTTCGCGCTTCCTTTCAACGTGAGGAGTTGAAGTGTAAAATATCGTTAGATAGATTAAATATCCGTGCTTTGAGTCACGTCTTGCTCATTACAGAAGACGGAGGGCAGACTCGGCACGGGGGATCTTTCTTCTACGAATTTACCGCGCGGCTAATAATTCACAATTTTCCGGAAGGAATCCTCCGGAAAGATACGCCGTGTCTCTTTTATCGCCTATGCATCAATTAAGCGAGCGATCCGTCTTTCATATCACGCTGCTGCGAACATCCGATACCGGAATGAGAAAAGGCACGGTCCGATGCTTATTTTCCAAGTTCTCGATTAAGTGACACTTACTATGAATTAATGCCCGCTTCCTCGAAGAAGTGAAACCAGCGGAGCGCAGGGGCAGGCCGACGGGGAAGGAGGGGGGGGGGGCGAGAACTGAGAGGCGAGGCACGCGAATATATTCGGCGAAGTCGAAACCGCAGCGCGACCGTGGCCACCAAGTTACAAACTATTTCGAGTCCCCATCGATCAAGTCGAAAGTCGCTTGTCGGCCGAACGAGCATGAATCAGCGAGGCTTATTGAGAATCGGACGTATCCGGAGCCCTCTTCGATCCGCCGCGATCTACGGATCGAGAGGATCTCGTCGGAGGAAGCAGACGAGTGTTGTTTGTCGGTTTCCGGGGCGGAGATCGAGAGCGCAGGGAGCGTGAGAGAGGGATGGAAAGAGAGAGAGAGAGAGAGAGAGAGAGAGAGCGAGACAAGCAGTGTCGGTTCGGCAGCCAACTTAAAATTGATACGTAAACCTTTTACGACCGCTGGTCCGTACCATGGCGGGTGGATGCTCCGAATATCGTGGGTAGAGAGAGAGAGAGAGAGGCGAGCAAGCAGTCAGATATCTGGGATCCAGAAGAAGCTCCGTCGCGTCTCCACGGCGCGAGGAGGAAGGGAAGACCGGTTCGCGGTTTTTCGTGCAAGTTCGGCAATCGAATCGCAAAGTCGTGCATGTCGGCTACCTCTTCCATCTGTCTCTATCTCTATCTCTCCTCTCTTTCTCCCTGTCGCCGACATCTCTGTGCGCCGCGTCCTACGGGCGACGCTGCAGCGAGGATGAGTATGCGCTGCGTGTGCGTAGTGACGGGCGCTACGTGTCCACTACGTCGTTCTTCGTTCTGCTTTCGGAATAGTTCTGCCGCGAGCGGACGCGGCTGTCTCCTTCTCGAATGAGATCTCGAGCGAGATGGGGACGACGGGCAAAGACGGCGCAAGACGCCGGATCGGTCTCCGGAATGCCCGCGACTCACGTAAAGCACTATAAACGCTTGAGCTAGTTTCGGACGAGCGTCCAGTATACATCTGTCCTACTGTCTCCAGCGTGTATTTCGTTTGTAGTGTAGAAAAAATCTTTCCGCGTACAGAAACTCGGTTCCACTATTTGATCTCTATCTATATTTGACCGGTATTCACGCAATACCGCTTCTAAAAGAAATAAGAAATCTTACAGCACGAACGTTCAATCATTCTATCACTAAAGAATCTAAATTTAGAGAGAGAGAGAGAGAAAAAACGTTAAATGTTTAAATGTGCACACGAAAGCGTTAAAACGCACAAATGGAACTATTCCCTCACTTTTCCGATATTTACTCGCGACGACGATAGTGCGCGCGTCGATATTTTTCTCTTTCGTCGCTAGTATGTATATCGATATTTTTTTGTCGACTCTAATAACGAGTAAAGTGTCGATGCTTTTTTCCGATACCGCGTCCCCTGGTCTCGTCCCGTTCGCAGGACCGGGCGAACGGCGAGAAGATACAGACAGGTTGCGTGCAATGTTCGTGCTCGTTCTTCTCTCCGCGCGGCTCACTCGCTCGCTCGTTCGTTCGCGTCCGTTCGTCCGTCCATCGCGATCGCGTGTAATGGTAACGATGTGCGGTCGTGTGCGTGCACACGCGTTACACCAAGAGGCGCCGCGTATACGCACGAGAAAGACGCGTACGAAACGCAGGACATCTTCGTCCTACCCCGAGGTCCTGCGGTAGGCGCGTGCTCACTCCACTCTTGGGTGCCGCCGCTCGCCGCCGCCGCCGCCGCTGCTGCCGCCGCTGCCGCTGGTTCGGTGGGGGTAGAAACGATTGGTGGACGCTGCGTCGAGTTAGATGCCGAGGAGATCTCGCTCGTCAGTCGTGCGGTGGCCGTAGTAGCGAGCGTTACGGTCCTCGGCTTTGTGGGGAAACGATCTCTGCTTCGTTTCACTTCGTCCGGTTTCTATCTTCGTTACACGGGATCAACCGAAATTGTGAACTTACATTCTCTTTTTTTTTTCGTGGACGTTACACCTTCCGGAATCTCTGGATTTACTGACTGATTTTTCATCGGGCGCGGATCGAGAATCGGAATGCGTTTGCTCGAGGAAAAAAAAAATCATGTGATGCGCGAGATTTTGTAATGGCATTTCTCGAGGCGCGAGTCGAGGAGTTTGCACGAAATGTTAATGTCGCGCGGATAAGAACGGGGGATTCTCGCTTGAATGGCAACACGCGGGATGTCGTAGCGAGATGTGATATCAGTTTGTCAGCGAACCACCGTCAGCGAACGATCGTAAGCGGATAACATTCTGTTACAGGGTTGATGCCTGTTAAGCGACTCCGACGTGACGTGACTCGGTAATCACTGCCGGTCGTTCGGAAGAGCAACATTGAGCGCATCGAAATAGAGAATTTGCAGAACAATAAGATAGTGTATTTTCGACTGTAAAAAAAAAGTACCGCGAGAAACATTACGAAGAGCATCCGCGTCGCGTCGGACAAAACATTGGCCATTTAAATCGAGTGATTCTTAAGGTGTGTAAATAATGGGATATTAATTGCGCAATAATAATCGGGATAATTGATAAACTGAAAATCGAAGTCGTTGGGGGTGATTTCGCGTCGGACCGTAAACCACCGTCTAATCGAATCGAAGTGAACTGGGTGTACCGCAACGGGGAACGAGAGCGTTAGAACGATTTCATCGGACGCATCCCGGACACCGGACACTTTGGAGTCGCGCAGCGGGCAATAACCGGCGTTACGTGACGCGCGTCGTGTGATGATTAGGAAACAGGAAACCGGCACCGAGCGCAGGCAACGAGTTCACTAAAGATGCGTGGGCTCGTCGGTCGGCACGAAGGTCCCGGGAGAAGATCGCTGTCGCTGTCGTTGGTTTATTATTGCCTGCTCCTGCCAGTGTACCACGTGCTCGCGGTGACGAGCGAGTTGCCGCCTCGGCTCGATTTGCCGGACCATTGTACGTGGGACTCGCGGCAGGATGGCGCGCTCATCTGCGTGCATCGTTACGCGGGCAACGACTCGCTACGGACCAACTTCTCTCAGGCGACGAGCGAATACGTGACGTCCATAAATGTCGTTTGCGAGGACGGCGATCTCGAGAACGGGAACGGCGTTCTCAGCGTGGATGGCTTCCTTCACCTGTGGCGATTGCGATCGTTGAAGTTGACCGGATGCAAGCTGGCACGCTGGCCGGCCAAGTTACTCAGCGGACTGCGCGACCTCCGTAATCTGACCGTTAGAACGCTGAACGGGCGCAAAACGGAGCACAGCCTGGAGCTGGAGAGCGGCGCTTTCGACAACACGCCGCAAATCGAAAAGCTTGACCTGTCGTGTAACAACATCTGGCAGATACCGGATCGCTTGTTTTGCCCGTTAACGAACTTGGTAACTTTGAACATCTCCTGGAACACGCTGAAGGACATTGCGGAGCTGGGATTTCGAGATGTCGGCGAGAAGCCGCCGAGACGTCAACAAGAATCCACGTCGGCTCCATTTCCTTGCTCTCTGGACGTACAATCGTTGGACGTGTCGAATAATCAGATCTCCGTGCTGCCGTCCTACGGATTCTCCTCGCTGAAACGTCTCCGCGTATTGAATTTATCCATCAACGCAATCTCCATGGTAGCCGACGAAGCTCTGCACGGACTGAGATCTCTGGAGAGCCTCGATCTGTCCGGGAACAGAATCGTCGCTTTACCGACGGAAATGTTTCGCGACGCGATGAAGACGCTGAAGGAGCTGAAATTGCAAAATAATTCCATCAGCGTGCTGTCACCCGGCTTGGTGGCGGGCATGAATCAACTAGTCACTCTCGATCTGTCGAGAAATGTTTTAACCAGCTCGGGCTGGCTAAATTCCGCGACGTTCTCCGGTCTGATACGCCTCGTGCTCTTGAATCTTTCTCACAACCGTATCAGCAAGCTGGATCCGGCGCTCTTCAAGGACCTCTACACCCTGCAGATTTTAAATCTTCGGTTCAACGAGATAGAAGTGATACCGGCGGACACCTTCTCGCCGATGAGCAATCTGCACACCCTCGAATTGGCGCACAATCGTTTGACTTATCTCGATGCCTACTCGCTGAACGGCTTATTCGCGGTCTCGCTGCTGGCCTTGGATTCTAACATGCTCGAGGGAATTCATCCGGACGCCTTTCGAAACTGCTCGAGCATGCTAGATTTAAACCTGTCTGACAACAATCTCGAGAGCGTACCGGTGGCGCTAAAAGACATGAGGATACTGCGGACCATCGATCTCGGCGAGAATCAAATCAGGAGCATGAATAAGCCAGGTTTTCGAGGAATGTCGAGTCTGTACGGACTGAGAATGATCGGTAATGAAATCACCAACGTCACGCAGGAGGATCTCGTGGAATTGCCGGCGCTGCAAATTCTCAATCTCGCGAGGAACAGAATCGATTTCGTGGAGGACGGCGCGTTCACGAGCAATAAGGAGCTGCAGGCGATTCGGCTGGACTCAAATATGTTGCAGGACATATCCGGCATCTTCGCGAGCGCGCCCGGTCTCGTCTGGCTCAACATATCCGACAACAAGATCGCGCAGTTTGATTACAGCTACCTGCCCGAGAAATTAGAGTGGCTGGATCTGCATAAAAATAATATTGCGGATCTCGGGATCGCGCCGCGAAATATGAAACTGAAATCGCTCGACGTGTCGTTTAACAATCTGACGAGGATACACTCGCGCTCGATTCCGGATTCCGTCGAGTTGCTGTTCGTCAACGATAACCTGATATACTCGGTCGAGCCGCAAACGTTCGTTTCCAAGACGAATCTCACCCGAGTGGATCTCTACGCGAATTACATCGACAAGATGAACCTCTCGGCGTTCCAGCTTACTCAGGTACCGCCTAACAGGACACTTCCGGAATTCTACATCGGCGGAAATCCCTTTATATGCGACTGCACCACCGAGTGGTTGCAGAGGATCAATTCACTCACGCTGAGACAGCATCCGAAGGTGAAGGATCTCGAGTCCGTTTACTGTAGACTGCCGTACGATCGCCGAAAGTCGTTTATACCGCTGCTGGAGGCCAAGCCCTCTCAATTCCTCTGCACCTACAAAGCGCACTGCTTCGCTCTCTGCCACTGCTGCGAGTTCGACGCGTGCGACTGCGAGATGACGTGTCCGGCCAACTGCACGTGCTACCACGATCAATCCTGGTCGGCGAACGTCGTCGACTGCTCCAGCTCGGGTTACAAAACTCTGCCGGGTCGATTGCCGATGGACGCCACGGAGGTTTACCTCGACGGCAACAATTTCGGAGAATTGAATTCGCACTCGTTCATCGGCCGGAAGAACCTGCAGATCCTCTACGCCAACAACAGCAACATCATCGCGATCCGCAATCACACTTTCAGCGGTCTCAAGCGGCTGCTCGTGCTCCATCTCGAGAACAACAAGATAAGCGTGCTCAACGGCGTGGAGTTGATGCCGCTGGAAAATCTCAAAGAGCTCTACCTGCAGAATAATCTGCTGACGTACATCGACAACGGTACGTTCCTGCCGCTGCGTCAGTTGGAAGTGTTGCATCTGGAGAACAACCGCCTCGGCACTTTCGCCCTCTGGGAACTGGCGCAAAATCCCTATCTAGTCGACATCGCTCTGTCCAGCAATCCGTGGAGCTGCGAGTGCTCGTATCTGGATCGCGTGCGGGAGTGGATGTCGCGCAACCGGCTCAAGATCAACGACTGGCGCAGCGTCACCTGTTCCCTCGGCGTGCCCATAACTCTCCCGGCCAACGGATCGGTCATAAATTGCGCGGCATTAACCGGCACGACCTCCGTCGTCGAGACGCGACCGCTCGAGACCTATCTGCCGCTGCTGCTGGCGACGGTCGTGCTGATCTTCGCGACGGTCGCGTTGGTGTGCGGCGCTTTCAAGCATCGCCGCACTCTCAGGACCTGGGCGGCGAGTAGATGCGGTTTGCGGGCGTGCTACAAGACCGCCGCCTTCGAGGATCAGGAGAAGCCGTTCGACGCGTACATCTCCTATTCCGCGGTCGACGAGGCCTTCGTCTCGACGATTCTCGTGCCGGGTCTCGAGACCTCTTACCGGCTGTGCTTGCACTATCGGGATCTCGGCGCCGGCAGCAACGTCGCCGACGCCGTGGCGGAGGCGGCCGACTCCTCGCGGCGCACCATTCTCGTACTGTCCAAGAACTTTCTGCACGGCGAGTGGTCCAGGTTCGAATTCAAGGCGGCCCTCAGGGACGCTCTCAAGGGCAAAGGTCGCTCGGTGATTTTGCTTCTGGTGGGCGGTGTGTGCCCGCGGGATCTCGATGCCGATCTCAAAAAGAGAATCTCGTCGCACACCGTGCTGGTGTGGGGGGACAAGCTGTTCTGGCAAAAGCTGAGGTTCGCCATGCCGGATGTGTCTCCGATTCCCGTTCTGGAGAGACCGCTGCCGCTGCCGCCGCCGCCGCCGCCCCCGGCGCATCATCAATGGACGTAGAGCTGCCGTTATTTAGGTGAGTGCATCCTTCTTTATTTTTAGAATGGCGTGCGCGCGCGCGCGCTGCTGTTTGTCGTAAAACAGCGTTTGCTCTGTGCGGAAATCCGTGCACCGAACGTGTATATGCAGCTGTTCATATTTACTGTGGAAGGAAAAAAAATTTTCATTATAAACCTTGGCGCCTTTCGTCACGCTTAATCCGCGTAATGCAAGTTAGTAGGGCTTGGCGAAGAATAAGCTCGACAGATTTGGAAATGTTTATTTTATAATAATTTCGAATGAATTTTCCATACAACGCATACATTCGGTAAATATTTGCATATGAATATCCATTGCATATCGAAATGTCCAGCAGATTTCCAAGTATCCAATAGTGCTATTATTTATTGCTGCATGAAAAAACACTTTATGCAAAAGTTATGACAAATCCTGTGACCTGAAAACGACATTATTATTCATTTGAATAAGCTAATTTTGCTGAAAAATAATTATGATGTAATGCCCGAAATGTATAATATTTGTATTACTTTTATACGTTCGGCATTTTGCTGATAAACGTAAAATGATTTATGCCTAACTGCCTGATATCTATTAATTTATCAAATTCTTGAGTTATAAATTTTATTTTATATTTTTTAATTGCTACAAATCTAGTGCTTGCGCAACAAATTACATCTCAGCGTTCACACACACACACACACGCACACGAATCTTATAATTTCTGACACGACACAGCAACTGATATTTTCGTCAACAGCAATCTTTCTCGATGAAAGATCGCGTAACGCGCCTTTTGTATATTAAAATGGGAGTAATGTTGCTTCCGGTTGCTAACCGCTTATAATCGAAAGTTGGCTAGCTACAGAATCGTTTGTCGCTAGTCTAATAGAATTCGTAATCGATGTTCTCGCGCCCATAAAGCCCGAACAGCGTGCGCGCGCAGTACGTATATAATAGTAACGGTTCAAATTATATATAATTCCTAAACGACAGGCTAACGAGGCGGTAGTCGTGCTATTGAACGCGCCTCTACGCGACCTGTAGCCCATTTAACGGCGACACATTTCGCGCTATTGTGATCGGAGGGTATGAATAAGGTCATCTTTCGACGGTCGGTTTTGTACGAACATATGGGTCGACAATAAATATACGAAAAGTCGCATTAAACACGTCCGCTGACGGTCAGGAACTAGGAAAGTTCAATCGTCCGGGCCATTTGCGCTCTCATAACTATTCTCACTCTCAATTAGCGATTAAGCTCCCTTTGTCCGAATCCAGTTCCCTGCCAGAAGCACGGAAGATCGTAAACCTGACAATTGTTCCCTCTTATATATTGATCTCACAATTAATTTGACAAGATCTGCACGTTACATGATCAAGTCGCGATCTTATTTGCATTCCTATACGCTCTCTTTTAGTCTAAATTGATCAATTATAATTTCATTTATATCATAGATTCACATACTTATAATGTGATTATTTCAGACTGTGCAGTCTTATTTTATCCGCCAACATCTTGAAATGAACTTAACACTAGTAATGCAATTGCGAAATTGTCTATATTCAATATTGCAATATGATATTATAGGGTAATGTAATAAATGATAAATTTCGTCCTTATATAGCCAAGATTACTAGATTAGGATGTAAGAATTTCCTGCAAAGTTTTACATCGTCTTTCTAAAACATGAATATACTTACAAAGTTAAATCCATTACATCAATAAAAAATAAAATTAGTATACAGTTCAGGTTTTGAACAGCGTATAATTCTTATAAAGATATAAAAGATTTATTATTTGCTTCAAAGTTTGAAAATATAAAGTTGGAAGCATAAAGTTAAAGTTTGAGAATATGGATATTTTCCATATTTATAAAACATTAGACGGTATTTCATAATTTACATTGTTGTACGCAAAACGTGCTTAAAATCTTGTTTAGAATCAGTCATTTTCGTGCTTAACTTTCAAGTGCAACAATAGTATTTGTCATGACTTAAAGTTACAAAAATAGATATGACAAATGTAGTCATCGCTGCATTTTTTACTCGCTCTGTAACCAAAATATATCTTTATTGATCGTTATTATTCATCATTTTATTTTCACTAGCAAATAATTTATAGCAAATAATAAACTATAATTGTTATACTTGAGGCTAAGAAACTTATTAAATATACTTACAAAGTGAAATATTTATTAAAAAACTTTTATGATAAAATTTTTCTCAACTCTTTTATAACATTTTGCAGAAAATACTTTTTTTGCTTATTTGTGCAACACAATATTCTATTTCGATTACAAAGCGATACAATTTTTAGTATTTTCCGTATTATTAATTATGATTATTTTTAATTCTCTTGTTGTTTTCGCGTCCAAAGAGAAATTTGACCACAATTATTGATATAATTACAGCATAATTAAATATGATGTAATTATTTTAACTCATTATTGCGCATTTAATAGCGATTTTATTTCACATCGTACTCTTCCGCTTCGTGAAATGACGTACAATTTGGTAATTCGCTCGTCCGTCCGAGTCATGCCTTTGTAATCACCGGCCGAATAGAATTATCTCTGTCGTGCAGATCGGTAATGCGTGGAAAAGGGAGACCGAATACGATCGACGTGTGCGCGCGCTCAAAATGTTACATTAAAGCCAGCTCGACGCGCAGGAAAATTAGGAAAGTCAATTGATCGTCCGATTTCCCGCAATCCCGCAACAATGCCTTTCTCCCCTGACCACCGACTGTCAGACAGGCCCTCGATTTTCTTTGTATCAGGTGACCGGCCATTCGCCACGTTAACTTTCCAGGACATGCTTCAGTTTCAGCTGTTACCCGAGCTGCGCGTGAAATGGTGGTCAAAGCTCGAAAGGGCGAACCGAAAATACGAGCGTACGGTTGCGGGGGTTCCCGAAAGGTTCCTTTTTATCCCATAAACTTCCAGTTTGGCGTTTGCGTAGTCGACGCTTCCATTAAAAGCTAAGCCGTCGATAAGCTGCATCGATACGGGCTTCCTCTCGAACCCCCCCGACGGGGATTACGCAAAGAAGTTATTTAGCCGGACAGCACGCGCGCCGGAGATGCTTATTGTCGCGTTACCGTGCATTAGTCCGGCCATTTCTCGTAGGTCGTAAAGCGTGTGCCGTAGCCCGTTCGCTTCCTATCGGATGGACCGCAAATGGATGCGATTTACGAAATCTCATGGCCGTCGCGCAGAAAACGGGCGCTTTCGCCGGCTTCACGAAGAGAAACGATCTCGCGTTTTTTATCGTGATTTATCGCGCTCCGTACGCCTACCGTTAAGAGCGGGATTTCGTTGTCAGTTTCGGTTCCGAGTATGATGTACGATGTCGCGGCTGGAAACAACTTTTTATCGATTGAACTATCATACGGTAGTAATGTAACGAGCGTTTAAGCGTCCGTCAATTCGTCGGCCGTCCCGCCGTCGTAGCCGAAATTCGATCCCCCATTTCTCGCCTTCGGCCGAAAACTTACGGTCATGTAGAATGGAACTCGTTAACGATGGTTCTTCACGTATTTTCGGCGCGATGGGATTTCGACCGTTTGCGACCTTTTGCTTCGCCTCGAAGGAAGTCCTTTGGGGAAAACCATTTAACAGGACGTCTGTACGATAACATCCGCACGGTAACGAAGCAAAACCACGAGACTTTTCAATCTCTGTCGAAAAAAAAAGCGTCTGACATTCGTAAGTAAAACGCCTTAATAGATCTCCCGCTGGCGGACGAAACGTACTTTGTAATGTCTACGACTGGGCAGGTAGAATCTTCGATCGTAGGTATACCTGCCTTCGGTCTGCGCTTGACAAGGGCGCGCCCGAGTCCAGAAGACAAATGGCTTCGCCGTCGACCTTGCATAACTCTTTCGTGGAGAAAAGGAAAAAGAAATTGAAAAGTGATTTGTATACTAATTCGTCTCGCGAGCGCACACCTTTTAGAGAGGCGGCGAGCGCATTTCGGTGTTCTAGGCATACTTCTAGCCGTTCATTATGTCCGTACAGGTTGCTTCTTGGTCATATTAAGAAAATAGTATGTTCTACAATATGTTAGAGCATGTTCTTAACTTTTAAAAGCACGTGTTTTTTTTTTCAACTACGAGCTCTTGCTTAAAATTGACAGCGTTATCTGGAATAATTCCATTTATTTTTCGCTTATAATATTTGCTTGAATAACTGAATTATCTTTACAAGCTTTTCACGGGGAAAAAAATATGCACGTCCGTATGTTGAACGACTTTATCTATGCAGCGCGTTATACGGAAAACTAGAAAATGGCACACGTTTCGTGGTCAATTTCCACAAACTAATTTTTGCTCTGATTTTTTGGAGCAATACGATTACTGTGCTTCGTTACGTGTCTTTAAATGTAATTTTCTTATCTAATGGGTTACGTGTCTAAAAGTCACGCGTGATAAGGAAATAAGAACGACGCGAGTCTGCTGGAGTAGTCGAGTTTTTCGTACGTGAGCTGCAGGTAAATAAGCGTAAGCTAGAACGGACCGGTAATCGATGCTCGGGAATTCCTGTAAAAGTAAGAAGAGATATATCGCGAGAGAGATACAGATCTTATCTTACAGAACGGCGAGACATCCGAACATCAAGTTTCTTAATTATTAGTTTTGCAATTGCGTCCGTTAATTATAATATTCCGAGCTCACTCTATACACATTTTTCTTCGTCCGGATCGATTACTTATTCGCGCACGTCTGAAAGCACCGCGCCTCCAAATTAATTACAGTGGGTGCTACGTCTATAACATCTTCGCTCATTATAATTTTCTACACGCTGCACAAACTACGCGATAAACTTTATAGCGCGTATTACAGGAAGAATTGTGTCTGCACATTATTAACGCGTTGAAAAAAAGTTGCATCGTTAATCAAAATGCGAAAATTACAATAGCTTACGTCAAACGGTAAAAAAATTGCGAAGAGAAATTTATTAATAAAAAGATGGAACGCACTTTTGAAAATTAAGACAGAATGGAGAATATTGCTAA